TCTCTGCTGTGACTTTCCCCAGCCACCCTCGCTCATACGGTGCGGGCCGGTCCTCCTGTGACCATTACTGCCAGTGAGCCAGCGGGGACGGTCTGAATGCCTTCGACACGGTTCCTGGAAGGGGCCGGCGTTTATCATTATCGGTCCTTTCTGCTCAGCTGTGTTCTGGCCGAGACCCGGCCGAGAAGTGGGAAACAGCGAGAAAGGCTGCACTTGTGGTATTTCTGGCTTCGCTGGACACAGGAAGTGCAGCAGCCTTAGGGAAAACATGTTGACGTATTTTTCTGGACCGTATCTCTCTCTCCTAGAGCTGGGGGAGACGATGTTTACCAAAAGGTTTGAAACCGGCCTCAAGTTACTGACCCATATCAGGTCTCTCAAAATCAGTTCAGCCACTACCCAAGCAGCTCCCGTCATATTTCAGGAGCCAGAGGAGGTGGCCTGCACCCCAGTTCCCCGAGGCCATGCGAAGGCATTTCTGGGAGGCAACGGGTGAGAACGGGGACTTGGCACAGTCTTGTCGAGAAGCCAGGTCGACAGCCTTCCCCACAGGAGGTCAATGTTTGTCTGGGCAGCGACCAGGTTACAGAATCTGTAAACACCACGAGGCGTTTGGGGGTTTTGTTTGGCTCGTGTCAGGAAGAGCCCGGGCAGGTGGGGCTGACAGTGGTCGCGAGTGGAGCTGTTCGGACAAAGCCTCTCCTGCCCCCGGGTTTCACGTGGTCAGCGATGAGTCCTGTCGTGTGTGGAGCAGAACTTCTATAAGTCCCTGCAGCCACGCCACAGTTCCCTGGTTATTTTCAGTATTTAATCTGACCTGGACATATGAGTGACCTTCTGTACCATGGTATCTTGTACTCACTTTTGTCACGTTTCAGGTATATTTTTGATGAAAGCGTTGGTAATGAGGTGTGGGTCTGGCATGAAGTTTCTACTCCGCAAGCATCCCACGGTCAGGCACAAAATGCATGCTTCCTGAAGACAGCATGAACCACATTATTTTGGGAAGAAATGTTGCTTTCACTGCAATCATAAAATTAGCAATGTTTTGAAAAAACACATTAACCATTTGAAAATGCATTAGGAGATCAGACTCCTCATGCAGGCGACCCAGCTCAGGGTGAGCTGAGATGGGTAATACTACCAGAGACATAAAAAGAGCCTAAATACATGCATTTTAAAAAGTATTGGCATCATGGTGAATGGTGGTTACTTACAGCACAGGTGCACAAAACAGTACGACACTTACGAAGCGTCCATAAAGCTGGCCCCCCTTTTCACCATGAAGTGCTCATTTTGTTAGGTGATATCGCTTTACTCTATTTTAATAGCTATGTATTCAGTGGCTTTATAAACCTTATCCCTGGGTATCGCACAGATTATGTCAGCTATGGGTGAAAGGTAATTTGATGATGCCTGAGTTACGAGAACGAGGGGCTAGGGTACCTGCTGCATCAAGACTTTTATGTCTGAGCATCCCTTCATTCTTCTTTAAGAATGCATCTGGAGGCTAGGATCTCACACACGCACACACACACACACGCGCACGCGCGTACACACGCACACACACACGTAAGATTGTAGCTGTCCGGGATCTTAACCCCTCCCCCCGCTGGGGAATTCTGCCCGTGTGTTTTGCAGACACTAAGTCCCAAAGTCCACCCACCCCGCCCCACTGACCCCCACACTGGGGACAGGCCAGGACTCATGAGCCCTGCTTGACACTCTGCATGTGGAAGCAGTGTCTCCAGTTAAACTGGCCTTGCTCTAAGTTCACGTTACTAATGTCACCTTATCTGGAGGAAAGGTCCTTACAGAGGTAATGGATGTAGAATGAGGTCATGAGGGTGGGCCTCACTCTGGTATGGCCGCTGCCCTTACAGGAAGGGGGCAGTGGACACGACGCTCATGTAGAGGACAGGCCGGGAAGAGACCCAGGAGGGGACAGTGTCTGCGAGCCCCGGGGAGCGGCCTGGGACCAGTCCTCCCTCGGGCTCTCGGAAGACAGCAGCCCGGCCCACGCCGACCCCGGGCTCCTGGCCTGCAGGTGGACGGGGAGTGTGCGCTGTGTCGCCGCAGTCCAGCAGACTAGTGCGGCCGTGGTGCACGCGGAGCGTGGGGAAGGCATGTCGGTGGAAGCGGAGGTGGCAACGTGCAGTCCCAGGGCCACAGCACCACCGCAGCCTCCGGGGGTGGCCAGCACCCACCGGGCCCCCAGCATCCAGGGCCGGCCGGCCTGTGAGACAAGCCCCAGCGCGGGCCCAGCCTCTGTCTTGCCCGTTTTCTGTCCGCCCAATAGCCCTTCAGAAACGGACTCTCCGCGCACGTCGTTCCGAGTGGCTGTTGGTCAGGGGAGGAACCTCGGCTGATACGGGAGCTGGCACCAGGAGGGCTGCTCGGCCATCGGGCGCTGTGGGCAATGCTTGGTGCTGTGTCGTGCACGTTGTCGGTTCACAGTCCACCCGTAAGGCTCGCCGCTCCGGAGGCGGGGCCGGGAGCCTGGTTCCCCCTGCTCCGCTCTCTCTGAGGTTGTTAGCGGGGGACGAGGGCGTCTAGTTAAAACTCGGTGGCACAGTAACCCCAGACAGAGGCCCGAGACAGCGGTCATGGGCAGAGTCAAGGACACAGGATGACAAGTCCCAGGCTTCGTGTCCATAAGCAGCAGCGAGAGGGAGTGGGGGCTGTCGGAACGGACGAGGTGGAGGGAACGCTAGGCAGGGTGGTGGAGGGGCCCTGAGCGTTCGAGGCTTTCTCAGACGCCCCGGGCGTGAAGTCAGGGGGGAGAGGAGGAGAGAGGAGACAATGACCTTGGTGCTTAGCACACCATGACCACGCAAAATGGCCGGGGCGTCGGATTCCAGCAGAAGCTGTTGAGGGGTCTGGTGTGAGTGGAGCGGGGGCTTCAGTGCAGGAGGTTCGGGGTCTTCCCGACACCCACACATTCTCTCCTGCTCTCAGGGCCTCAGCGGCCTCCCCCTCTACGGTGTCAGCACCCAGGCTGCTCTGCTGACTGTGCTTGCAGGATGCCTGCATCACTCGACAGAGACTTGGTGATCCACGGGTGTCTTAAGTCTGAGAGCTGCAAACCAGATTGTTCTCGTCGCTCCCTGAGTTTTCAGAGCCCTGTGAACGGTGTCTTCCTTCGTGCATCCAGTGCCACGCATGGTTCTCACCGGCCACTCAAGCCCAGGGCCTTCCCCGGCACCCCTCCCGCCTGTCTCCACAGGCCGATCAGCGGCCGGGCCCCGGGGGCTCAGCAGCTGTGACCTCTGCCCCAGCTGGCGCTGGTGCCTGCACCGGCGCTCTCGCAAGTCGTGCCGTCGTGACGGGTGACCTCTCCACTCCCTTCCTGCCCCGGTCTCACTAATACATGAATTATAGACCAATAGTGAAGAAAACTTGCGTCATGGCCCTCGGTGGCTGCAAGTCTTTGAATGGCTCCCCGTTCTTGCAAAAGAAATGGATGCCCCTTTGCTTAGCATTTCCAAGTCCTTCGCAATCACGCATAGTCTCTCCGAAGTCCCTCTGTCCCTCTGTCCCTTCGTGTGTCGTGCAGCCCAGCTGAGCCGAATCGTTCACGGCACAGTGTTTTCTCCTGCTCAAGGCTTCGGCTCTCGCCAGCCTGGAATGCACTTTCCTTCCACCTCGCTTCCCGCCCGTCGGTGTGTCCCACCTGTCTGCAGACAGAGCCCGACGCTGACGCTGCCCCCTCCGGAAGCCCTCTCTGGTTCCTCGCTCCTGTCGCGATGGGAGAGGCTTCTCTCCCTTAGAACTGCCAACACCTGTATAAAGTGACCTCTTCCAGCCCCCAACATTCACGGATTGTCTGCCATTGGATGTGGTTATTTCTATACAGTCCTTGAGGGCATAAGGGTGTTTTTGAAGGTAGGTGACCAAGTAGCCAGCTCAACACGGTGCACACAGAAGATGCCCACTTGCTGTTACAAACGGCACGGCGGGTCGCACACAGTAAACGTTCTTCAGATATCATTAGACGCATTTTTAAAACCTGGAACATGAGGTGCTGCTAATATGACGTACTACAACGGAACACGTATTTCACCCGGGAAGCTGCGGCATGGCCAGCGGGCGCATGTAAAGATAAAGATGCCCGACATCGCCGCCATCAGCGAGACGGGAATTGCCACTGTGCCGACACCTGCTCACCCGCTACACGGACCGGAACACGAAGGCCGGCGATAACAGATTGCGAGGAGGATGTGGAGAAGCCTGACCCTCTCACACACTATGGAGGGCATGTGAATCGTACTGCCACTCTGCAAGACAGCTTGGCAGTTTCTCAAAAAGCTAAACATAAACTTATCACGAGACCCAGCAACTGTAACTCTAGCAATCTACCCAAGAGAAACAGAAATCCATGCTCACACCGAGGCTTGCATGGGAATGTTCACTGCAGCTTTCTTCGGAATAGCCGAAAAGCGGAAACCATTCACGTGTACATCAACTAGTGAGTGGATAAACAAAATGTGCAGTATCCACATAATGAAACATTATTCAGCAACAAAAAGTGAACTACGCATGCATGCTCCAGCTTGGATGGCCCTTGAAATCATTATGCCGAGTGAGAGAAGCCAGGCACAAAAGACCACGCAGTATCTGATTCCTTTTGTATGAAATAGCCAAGAAAAGGCAAATCGGGAGAGACAGAAAATAGAAGATTCCTGATTGCCCGGGGCGGGGTGGGAGTGGGCAGCAACCGCAAAGGCCCTAGGAGACCCTTTTGTGATTCTAAAATTGGATTTCCATAATGGTTTCGCAACACTGTAAATTCACTGAAAATCGTTGACTGGGACACCTAAAATGGGTGAATTTTATGGTATGTAAATTAGAGCTCCATAAAGCTGTTAAAAAAATAATTGGATTTTCAGATCGTACAGTTTCTTCTACACATTGGAAGAATAAAATAAAACCTAGCTTCTTAAACAATATTCTAGCAGAAACATGCTCAAGTATCACAAAGGGATAAAATACAGAATCTGTCTAAATCTAGTTGACTATGTTTTAATGGGATAGCTGTTTGGACTAATGTAACAAAACAGAAAGAACATCTTCTTTATATAAGCCGTTAATATAGTAATAAAGTTTTAAAGAACAATCACCCTTTATTTTTTTTTAAACAACAGTTTTGTAGATACCTTAAATTTTTAGCAATTAAGTTCGAAAGAATTACTTTCACTAAGACTTTATTGGATTTGATTTATTAGTTCAGTCATGTAAACTGTCGGTACACAGCAGTTTTGTACTAATTAATTATTCACCCCCGAGTCTATTAGCAAATATTTACCACTTACAGCCTAATTAAAATTGAACCCAGGCCACTATTAAACAGAGGTCATTCTAAAGCTCTTCCCAGGAGAAACGCAGGGCTGTTCATGGGAGAATCTCCGAGAAAGTCCCAGTCAGCGGGTAGTTGTTCAGAGGTCGATTAGAAATTTAGGGACACGGGTGACAGTCAACGCTCGCAGGTCTGTTACTGTCCACTGTGACCAAGTATCAGAGTCGCTGAAGCCGGGCGATGCTGTGAATCTGGACAGGGGAGGATCGGGCAGCAGCCGCCCTCGGCAGCGCGCTGTGTTGCCAGGGCTTTTCGGACGCCGCGCGTGTCGTGTCTTCTGCTCCCGTGACGTCTGTCACACACGCGTCTGTCTCCCCTGCACCTGGTGAGCAGAAGAGGAAGGCCCTTCCTGGTGCGATGAAGCCGTGGGCCCGCGCGAGTGTCCTGAGTAAGGTCGGCGAGGCTGAGCTGTGACGTGCGGCGGCTCAGGTGCATGCCATGCATTTCTGACTTAATGATATCTGCGACTCAGGCTGGGCTCATGGGGACGTAACCCCGTCGTGAGTGGAGGAGCATCTGTACACGCCTGTCCCGACGACACTGTCCTCCGACAGCACGGTCCTTCAAACCTGTTTAAAACCTGATCATGTCTCTGGACATTCTAAAGCGACCTAAGACCTTTCAATGAAAGTTTTAGCCCATAGATTATATGCCATTCGATGGATGCCTTCAGCTTTCTGTAACTCTGATTCTTCCTTCCCCAATTTCGTAGATGAAGATTTAAAAGTACTCCACCCATTTCAGAGAAAAATAACAGAGTAGATACTAAATAAATTCAAGAATGTTTTACTCCTGTACGCCTTCTTCCAGGGGACAATTAAGCTCCTCTGGCAGAATCTAGAGTCTGTGCCTTCTGCGACCGTCAGGGGAGAGAGGGGCTGACCATGTGGGAGCCGAGGGGGGCCCTAGGAGGAGCCAGCTCCGGCTGCGAGTATGAAGGGCACGTTACCGAAACAGTCTTAGAGCTGTTCACATTGAACTAGACGTTTTAATTTTATATTTTAAAGAAAAATGGGTTTAAAGAAACCACGAGAACTAGGTGGACATTTTGGCAGCACCAAAATGCTTCTGGTGGTTAGGAAAACGTCTTAGATTGTGCGGCGTGTCTTCCTCCCAGGATGAGGGAAGGCGCATGCTGGCCACGGTGGCACTGGCCCGGGTCGGTCCTGTGACTGGGTGCTGTCCCTGCTCCTGACAGACGCGTCCCCAGCGTCCCAGGCAGAGGTGCGTGCAGACTGCACGAGTCTGCACCCCTCAGCTGCCGGAGAGGTGGACCGGCCAGCGTCGCTTCTCTGCGGACACGCTGCACGAGCTCCCTCACTGTCCTGTCGGATGCCACGTCCTGGCTTCTCCTGGGGCACCTGCTGTCCTCACCCCCTGCAGTCCCTCGTCGCTTAGGACGTGAATCCGGTCTCTGAGAGCTCTCCAGTGCTGTGTCTGTTTCCGTCGGCAATGTGGGGCGACTCCGGGACTTATGTCACAGGTCTGTGGGGATTGCCTGCTTCAAGAGGAGAAGCCACCTGGTCAAATGGAGATGCTGCGTTAGATCTCATAAAAACTAGGCAGCAGACTTTGAAATGCTTTACCATTTCCTTCCCGTTCTTCCTTCCAGTTCAAGGTGACCTTGACAGAAATCAGTCCTAGCGAACGCTCACTGCTGCTGGAGATGCTGAGGGAGTGCTCAGCAAAGGAGAGCCAGGGGCTGAGGTCTTGGTGACGCTTGGGATGGACATAACAGCTTCCGACTTCAAAGGGCCTGGCTCTGCCATGTCAGCTGACGAGAATGGCACGGTTGCCTTATCTAGTGATCATGTAAACCGAAAAGGGCCATGTTGTAGCCAAATACACCAAACGTGGTGCTAACGTCCTGGCATGATGCGCCATCTCTGACTCTGAAAAGTGCCCTGCAGGACCGAACTTCTTCGCTTTTACTGAAGAGGGATGATAATTCGCTTCAGATTAAAGTCGAACGACGAAACCGCTTGTGGGAAACGGCCTTTCTCATCCCCGCACACCTCAGGCGGGTTCTTAGGAGGGCGAGTCACAGGCCTTCCACAGAGCCCCGGAGCCCGTCACCAACGTCGGCTTCTCCGGGCCAACCAACTCCATCACCAGGAGCCCAGAAGCCCGTGCACTTTTGTGGAACCACCTCGGTGAGATGACATTGGTTGTACCAGGCATGGTAAAGTTAGCTTTTTAAATTTTTTAACTCCAAGTTTATATTTCCACTTTCGATATTCAGCAAGATCCTTGTTTGGACATGACGTCATCACCATATGAAACAACCAGGATTGAAAATTAGGTTTAAAATCTAGTTCCCACACCTCAGGTAAGGCTGAGTATACGTGGCAGGTGACGAAATACTTTCATCTGCTGTTTGCTTCTTTCTAGAGAGAGGAAGTCCATTCCAGACTTTAGCATTTGCATGTATTTTTATATATTTTTAAGTAGGTCCATGCTTAAGGTGCAACATGGGTAGCAGAGTTAACTTTTAAAGAATCATTTGGAATTTATGTGGAGCTGATAGACCTAAAACTGTAACAGAGAAACACAAAGATGAAAATAAAGGCCTTAGTCTAAATAAGTTATCGCGTGTAATTGGCCGCCTCTAAAATAAGAACCCATAGCAACTAACATGCCTGCAGCATCGTCTGCTTCTGCGTCCTTATGCAAGGCAGGGAGACCCAGGCCCTTTTACAGGTGTGTGCATGAAGCATTCTTTGGAGCATTTGTCCTAAGATGGGAAATGGCCAGTCTGGCTCTAGGTAAAGATAAAAAAAGACCGCCTCTCTGTGCATCACTTCTTTCTATTCCTGGGATGATTTCTTCTCGTCGGGAGCTGCGAAGAGCCTGTGATTTTAGCCGACTCGCAAGCTGAAATGTCAGCCCGCTGCAGACGCTGGTGGCCGGCAGAAGATGTGAGATCCTGGGTCGGAGGTAAAGGCCGCTTTATCACCCACGGAAATGGCAGTTGCCTAAATATCGTCTTTCTTCCTGGGCTGGTCCCTCAGAGCTCCAGTCCCCGTGGTGCTGCGGGGAGCCGGGCACTTACCAGCACGTGCGCTAGGCCGTGAGTTGGGCCACAGGATGCGCCGCCTTGCGGGGCCGCAGGCGCTCGGGGAGACCGCGAAGTGTGGTCTCCGGGACACCCCTGCCCCTTCAAATCCGCGGTATCACAACGAAACCGGAAGCGAAAATAATGGAACGATTTCCCTATCTCTACCCGCCCTCTCCAGGCTCGCGTGCATGTTAAACCCGGCGTTGCTGATCGTACCACTGGACGTTAGTGCTGCTGTTCCAGGAGCCCCCGGCGTTGCTGGCTAAGTTGGAGATGGCTTCGGGAGCCCGGACGCCGGCCTGTATCGTGGGTACAGTGGCAGAAGGAGACACCCTGGGGTTGAGGGACCGCCAGACACACCTGTTTGGCAGAGACGCCCACGGTGGGCTCAGCATCTCCGTAGAACTCGGACAGCAATATCTCCGTTTGCCAACTCGTTAGAACTAAAACATTTCATAGAACCCAAAGGAATAGAAAGGGTTGGTGGCAGCTGGGCTTCTGTGGTACCACGGGTAACGAGAACCACAAACGTTTGGCTTTCTGGAGAAAGATGTCCACTGCAAAGAAGAATTTCACCGACGTGCGAGCACAGTACCCTGCCCGCATGCTCTTTAATGAAGAGCTACACGCACAGCTAACCGCGGTTCAGAGCTCGACGTGCTGTTACGAAGCAGGGTGAGAGACCTGCTGGGGAGGGCTGCGCAGTGAACGCATCAGGCCTTGCGGGCAGGTGGCCTCTGCAGAAGCTGCTCAGCCCTGTTATGGCACCAAAGGCAGCCACAGACAGGACACACATGAACAGGAGCAGCTGTCCTCCAGGAAAACCTGTTTACAAAAACAGGCTCCAGACTGGCTTTGGCCCACGCCCCCTAGTGTGCCAGCCCCTGATCTTGAGAATCTGGATTGTGTGTGCAGAAAAGGTCAAGGTCTGGTGGGAAGCCGCAGGCCTAGAGCACATCCCTGGGTGCTCAGATTCTAACTGGCTGTCTCTCACTGTGGGGGGTTTTTGCAGGTCTTCGCATGTTACAGCTAATTGACAAATATGCAGATTCTGTTCTTCCCTGGCGATTTAATTGACTTCCTTTTCCCACCCCGCAGTTCCGTTCTCAACCCTCCTTCATTCCACACTCATTTGTCTGTTTCAACTTCTTTGGATGGGCTGTCACATCAGCCTGGTTCCCTCACACCACATGAGTTAAATATAATTTTTCAACATGCATTCATTTTAAATCTATATAATGATTTTATCCTTTTGATTGTGTGCATGCGTGTGTGTGCATGCACACACGTGCGTTTAATGATCACAAATTATCAGTAGCTTTGAAATGAAGTCCTAATTGAAGTCGAAGCAATATGAAACCACATAGGTGGTGACAGCATCGTGTTTATACAGCATTTGCAAAATCTGTTTCCATAACCATGAGCTCATTGGTTTCTTTCAACACCTCCCTAGGCTCTGTTAAGGCAAATGACTATCAACATTTCATCAACAAGGAAAGTGTGACACACAGACTCTTCGCAAATGCGTTTGCGTGTCTCCTGGGAAAGAAAATGCTTGGGGGTCACTGCCGAACCGCTCCCTCACTTCGCTGTCCTCCCTGCCCACTCCGTCAGACAGGTATCCCCGCTTTCCACACGCGGCCTTGCAACGAGCTCCCCCACCTGCTTTTTTCTAAGCAGTAGGAAGATCATAAGTTCACTGAGCTCTGGAGTTTACTTGGACTGGTTTGTGCACCTGGCTCGTAGGGGATGGATTCAAAAATTAACTAAGATCTAGTTTCCAGACGCTCAGCCCCAGTCATGGGCAAGGTGAAGTTAAGGTTAGTATAGTTTTACAACCGTCAAGGCGATACACACCTTTTTAAAAACAATCTCGTGCACACGGACTTTCTCCTGGCCACAGATAGAAGGCGACCGACACTCAGGGCGGTCCGCGCAGAGAGGCGTGCTGCTGCTGGCCTCACGGGCAGGCTGACATCTAAGGCGGGCAGTCTTTTTCCACGTTGCTTGTGAAAATGCAACTTCAGCCTTAAGCGAACTTCAGGAATAAAACTCAACAGGAGACACGTGACTGTACATACACGAGGTGCCTGGAAAAGCGGGTTACAGCTTTCGCCAGGCCCCTGAGCAGGAGCCGAGGGTGACAGGACGCGAAAGGGAGGACTGAGTCACGGCAGCTGGGAGCACCGTCACAGGGTGCTCGGGTCTCTTGTTTTTAAGCAGGGAGACAGAAGATGACTGCCAGCTTTCACAGGGCTATGCTGCTGTGACGATGGGTGACAGACAGGACCGAGTATTTCCCAGAATAATTAGAGGGCGATTTTTCAGGGAAAGTGTGTAGTGCTTCTATTTTAGACTCTGAGTTTGATGGAGGAAAATTTAAAAGTAGATGGTCTTGCTCAAGAGCCTACATTCCAACTCAAATTAGTACTCGGTTGGTTGGAGATTTGAAGGAAGCAACAAGCAGATTACAGACTTGAGACTGACTTCTTTGAAAGTTTCTCCAGGGTCCAGTTTTATGTCACTGAGAGTTTGTGTTTGCCTTTCTCTGTTCAAAGATCACTGAAGTGTGTGTGTGTGTATACATATATTTTTAATTTTTCAAGAGTCATTTGAGACTTTGTCCTCTAAAATATAAAATATAAAAGTACCTATTTGTTTACTAAGTTCCTCTCTATGACTATGAAGTGTTATATAGTACGTAGGTATATTTTATAGTCTAACATTCATACACGGCTAAAGGTTATATAAAATGAAAATTGTGATATTTAGGTTTCTATTGACTATAGGAGATATTTAATATAATTTTTTAAATTGTTCGCAGAATGTTAAATGTCTGAAATTCTTTCACTGTGTTTGAGGATGAAACGAAATTCTTTAGACCCTTGTTCGAGTTTTTCCCACGGTTATGATAAGCTGATGAATACTTAAGGAGAAGTCAAACGCATACGGTTTCAGATCCACTGAGTCTGGCTCGCAAACAGTTCTGTTAAAAGCGTGCTTTTGCCCTTTTTATAAGTAGCCCGTTGGGTATCTTCCCTCTATCCTTAAAGAAATCAGAAATAGAAAGTTCCAAATTCCCAGGAACAACTTGACCCCAAAGGTAAAGTTGACTCTGAGGCTTGGAGAACAGGAAATTCTAGATGGTTTCTGGCAAAACGCAGGGCGCCACCTCCTCACCTCCTCGCAGAGTGTGGCCGAGTCCCCGACTGTGCACCCCTTCGCAGGCAGGGACCCTCTGCCGGCCAGATTCCTGCTCCGGGAGGAGGAGCAGCACAGCAGCAGCTCAGGGCTGAGCCAAAGCTCTGTCGCTGCTTCCTCAGCAGAGTGCATAACTCGAAACGCGTGGGGGACAGGACAGTCCCCGGACGCTGGGAATCGCCTTCCGAGTGGGGCGGGAGGGAGCCATCGCACAGAAAAGGACTTGTGTGTGTGTGCGTGTGTGTGTGTGCGGAGCCAGTGAGCATGGCGCGACTTCTGCCGGTCGGTCGCCGGGTAAACGCGGCCGTGCGCTGGGCAGGGCGGGGCAGCTTGGACATACTCACTCCTTTGTGATGGTGGGTCCTGAGATGGGGAGCACAGAGCCCCTCCTCTCCAGCCCCAAGGAAGAACCCGGGCAACGCCATCGGCAGGGACCAGAGGGCAGAAGGAGTGGCTGTGTTCGACATTCCGTGAACGCTGGCAAGTCCGGCCAGTCGTCACGCTGGTGAAAACCAGATCTGCTTATTGTTTTGCTCCGTGAGTAAGTCGGCAAAGAAATGCGGGTGTGAGTGTTTGGGAAGAAAACAGACTTCCACGCGTTGAGGTCATTGTTTTCATTGTCGAAGTGATTACTGAGCTCCTAAAATTAAAACAAAGTAAAAACAAAAACAAAAACAAAAACAAAAAAACAAGCCCGTGTCCTCCATCCCCCGATTCACTGGAAACAGAAGACTCTGCGGCCAGTTAAGGTGGGCTGTGCTTCCTGAGACCCTCATTGGTGTTTCAGTGTGATGAGCCTGAGGGCTGTTAACATGCAGCCAGCCTTTCAGAAAGTCCCAGAAAGGAATGCGGTGAGCTGGGGTTTGCAGCGTTAGAATTTAACTGAGCATGCCAGCTTCTCCTCCCCCACAATAGGTCACCGTGAATCACAGTTTTGTGGTTATTCTCCTCAAACAGGCAGGCACTTGGTGGTTTGTCTTTTGTTTAATTTGTTACAAGATCACACAAGATATTTTCAACAGAGTTTCGGAAGGCATCTCGAGAAGTCTGCGGAAACGGGCTGAATCATCTATCCCGACAGCCCCTGACATCTGACCCCGCCTCGCCCTCTCGTGTCCTGGGAGAAAGTTCTCAGCCTCAGTTAGATGTAGGAGCAAAGATGCAGACGCGGCCTTAGGGCCTGGGCCTCGGGGCAGTGATGGGAAGTGCGTGGGACGCAGCTGACCGGTTGCTTTGGGACCTCAAGGCTCAAACCCAAATGAACATGCTATTATGGCAAAATGACTGTGTGAGGGAGCCGCTGCTAAAAATGACAACTGAGGGGGGGCGGGCCGCATTCCGATCATCTCCGTGTCATCGTCACAAGGTGTGGGCCACGCGAGTTTCATGTCTTTTTTTTTTTTTTTTAAGTTCAGGTTCAACACATTTCTCTCTAAATCTACAGAGCAGGTTGTGTTCCTTCCGGCCTGGGCCCTGACCCTTCCATTAGAGGAGGCGCTAATTTGCTTGCTCCTGGGCCAGCCCAGAGAGAATTCAGCTTTTTGCTTTATAACAGGATTGGGCTTCAGGCTTCTAACTTTTGATTTCTGGTCCTCAAAATAGAATCAACCGCGAAGGACGAAAGGAACACAGGGAGTGGATGCATTGCTTGGTGTTTTGACACCATCTCTTTTCATAGGAGAGCCACATTTCAAGCAGGGAGGTGTTTCCCCTTTTCGAAAAATGCTTGTGAAATGCGTGACTCATGATCCCGCCGTGAACAGCCAAGAGGTTCCACAGAGCCCCAGGCGGCACCGAGCAGGGCAGGGCGCACTCTCTAGACCTCGCAGAGCCAGTCCTTCTCGCTTGGTCCAAAAGGGATGGGGGAGTGCAGGGGCCTCCCCCACTCCCAAAGGCTGTTCCCCTGTCTCAGAGACAAAGGGAACCGCCCAGGGAGGATTCCTGGACAAGGTCAGGACCTCCGCACCTGCCTCTGACGTTGGGAGGCAGGCGAGAGCTTCCTCTTGTTTGAACAGTGTCTCAGAGCATGATGTGGGCGCGGACGGCAGAGAGGCACTAACACCTCAGTTACCAGGGGAGAAAGACGGACAGGTTTTCTGGGGCAACGAACCCCAAGTAAGGAAGTGCTCTGTCTCTTGCTCCCAGAGCGGGAAGAAAAAGCCAAGGAGACTTCCCCTCGCACGCCCAGAGACACCGCCTTCAAAAGTGGTGCTGGCCATGCGGCCCACTGTGTCCCAGCTCCGACACGCACAGATGCCGGCCCTGCGCCGTCCGGGCCTGCGCCGGCCGCTCTGCCTCACGCCAACCCGGCCGTGACAGCAGCCCCTTCTCGGGGTGGCTGACTTCAGCTCCTGGAGTAGCAAGAGCGACTCCCGCCCACGGCCGCGCACCACGTCTGTCTGCCCCGTCGCCTCCTCTGAGGCTGGGCCCTGAGGACCTCTCGGCAGGTGCCGTGTCTGCACTGGGTGCCCTGCTGGGGTGGCCCATTCCAGACACCCTGTCGCCGGGCTTTACGTCCCACCCGTGCATAGGGACTTGCTCTGAGTGAGCTCACATCCTGTGCCCCAGCCCCAGGATCGGAATCGGAATAGGGACGGCAGAGTCAAAGTGGCAGCGGGCCACTGTCTTGACATGATTTTCTGGTACGAGGCAGACACTGAGTTTCAAAACAGAATCTTTACCCTGTTGTTTTTACTAAGCAACCAAAAGATTTTGGCGGGGGGCTTGTGAGTGTGTGTGTGTGTGTGTGCGCGTGTGCGTGTGTTGAGTTCATACAGTTAGCGCATGCGTTTCGATAATCTTGGGTCTTATACGCCAGTGCCAGAGCGGCCGGGCCCTGGCCACGACGCCGAGCGGGGCCTTCGGCGGAGCCTCCGGGCCTCGCGGGCCCCTCCCAGCGCCCCCGCTTCCGTCCTCACTATGTTGTCGCTGGCATCCGTTGCCCCACATTGCAATTATTCAGATGGTTCTCCACCGAGTCTCTTTTTGGATCAAAACATTTTTTTTAATTACGTTCTTAGTCATTTTTTAAAAATCAAGAGATGCTTAGCTCATAGGCACCCTGCAGTCTCTCAAAACCTGCAGCGAGGCGCGGGGAGGCCGGGAGGCTGGCCCTGCCCCCACCGCCTCGGCGGCCAGTCCTTTCCAGGGCATCCCCACGCTATTCCCCTCCCAAGACACACACCGACATCCTTCAGAAAACAGGGGTGGGCTGCTCAGTCTCCACTGGCTACTGAACACGGCCTTCCCCTCTTCTGCCCTGGACGCTTGGCTTCCTTGCGTCTGACCGGACGGCTCCCCTGGGATGTGGACAGAACTACGCTGCTGCGCTGCACTGGGCATGTTTCCTGTCTCCAACCTGAAAGGGTTAAATCGTGAGCGAAACCCAGCGGGCGCTCCACAGGCAACGTTCTAGCTATCAGCTGGTGAAGCTGGCATGTTGGGTTTCAAGGCTTTCCATAAACTCAGCTGAAATACACTCACTGACCCACCGCCAGAGCTGAAAATCCTCAACAGAGACTTTTTCCTGGGGACAGTGGTAGCGGGGGTGGCGGAGGTCTGAATAGAGGGAGCGTGTGAACGCTGGCTTCGCTGGTGTGCGGCAGGATGGGAGTGCCAAGGAAGGAAGGTTCTGGAAGCGAGAGCGGGCGCGCCGTGTCGCAACGCTGTTGGCAGCTGCAGGGGCTCACAGTGTGTGGTGGGTTTAGTTACCAGGGACTGAAGCGGCGAGCCTCATGAGCCTTGTTTACACACCCAGAAAACGCATCCAGCTTTCAGAAGCACAGCGCTGTAGCAAACGTCTGACGTTCGGTCACTGTCCCCAGAATCGCACCCCTCTCAGGGGCTCAGTGACTCCTGGACGTCCTCCTCTGTTCCAAGGTACCGAGAGCCATAAATCCATATTTAATTAGCTCTGAATGAAATGCTGAAGATGATAGGATCTTTGTGCTAAAAATGAAACCCAAATGGGTCTGGCTGATTTATGTCTAATTCGGAGTTGTAATTTAATTAAAACGACATACTGAATTAAAAAGAAAAAAAAAAGTCTCTCTGGCAGGGTCCTCACAAGAAATTTAAATTCAGTGCTTGTGGCTCAGGAATCTGCACACTCTATGTCATCGTCACATCGTCACAGTCCTCCCCAGCAGCTCACAGCTTACTTTCTTAACCGGCTTGTTCCTCATGCAGTCACTGAATGTCCTACTGCCTCAAAGTCACGAAGCCGAAGTTTGCATACAAACACGTCTTGGAATGTTACTGGATGGCTTATCTGACAGTTCCGCGAAGGTTAGCTCTGTCTTCACCAGGCTTACTTGCATTGGCTCGGACGGGTCACGGGCATCAGCGGAGACTCACAAAGCTCAGGACTTAAGGAGATGGACAAGGTGCCCTCCAGAGCCTGCTCGAAGCAGATGGCTTCCTCGGAGCGCTCCAGAGCAGGTCTTCGCCCCTGAGGGGGCGAACCCGGTGCCCGGCCCTCGCTGCACGCTGTCGTGCAGACGGCCATCCCTCCCTGTGTCCTCACGTGGTCGTCCCTCTGTGTGTGTCTGTCCTCATCTCTCTTTACGGGACACCAGTCATACTGGATTAGGGCCACCCCAATGACCTCTCTTTACCTTAATTATCTCTTTAAAGATTCTGTCTCCGAAATGCAGTCCCAGGCTCAGATCCTGGGGTTAGGGCTTTACCATGTGAACGAGGGGCGCTGGGGGGCGCAGCTGAGCCCACAGCAGTGCCGACGCATGAACAAACACGACGATGAGTGGGTGGGGATGTCTGCGATACTGGAGCTGGGTGGGAACGTGAGAATCCGCCTCGGACTGCTGCTGCGGTGGGATTCTCGAGGGAGCAGCCTGCAGGCGGGTCTGGGGGACCGCCTTTCCTCTTCACCCTCCTCTCCAGGGCAGATGGACGTCGGCTGGCCCTGTGGACAGTCTGGCGGGGGAGAACATCAGGGCAGCTCTGTCGCCTCCAAAGACTGCAAAGGAGAAAGTGGCGGGCATCGGCCCATGTGTATAGGGGAGGCCCCTGGTCCCACGGCACGGGCCAGGACGGGGGTGGACGGAGTGCAGAAGCCGGCGTCGAGCCCATACTAACTTGGCACTCACATTGACAGGCAGGGTGCGAGGTGGCTCTCGGTAAGGGGACGTGGAACGAGGCCGCGATGGCCCTGCCACGTGGACAAGTGTGCCCTCCATTCAGCCAGCTGCTTCTTGCCACTGTCACACCCCAGTCAGAAAAGCGTGCTCACGTCTCGTCCGTGTGATTTACAGCCTGCCCCGTGCTCTGAGTCTGTGATTAGACCATCGTCCCCAAGGAGCCCGCAAACCTCCGTGAATGATCGTGCACAGTCCAAAACCCGATGTCAGAGAAATGCTACTCAAATACACGACCCAGAACGTGAGGTCGTTCGTGGCATGCCACAGATGGGACAAGGAAGGCAGTGCTGAGTGGGTCACGCTTCCTTCCAGCCCAAGTCACCAGGTACTTGAGGGTCCCCTCCCACAGCAATCACGGGACGCCGCACAGTGGACCCGGCCACCCACCGAGTCGGCACCATCTCAGGTAGTTCGCCCGCGCTTTCTCAACTGTCGCATATTTGTGCAGTAAAGTTAGACGCATGTAACTCTGCTGCAGATCCATGGAGGTCATCCAAGAGTGTCCCATGGCAAGGTGACCGAAGAAAGCTGATGATGATCCAGCAGCTTAGACGCTTTCGCGAGTCATTTACGATGGGTGACCTAGATATCCCTTATTAATGAGACTGGAAATTAGGAGGCAAATGGACCCCTAAGCAAACAATTACTAGCTGAAGTCAAATTAATGTAAAGAATTAGCGGCCTCCTCTCTGGACGGGGTGCTGGGGAGTGGCAGTAATGGCGGTCCCTCACCCAGGGAAGTCCACAGAAAGCTCCGAGCACCTAGAAGCTGGGCAGCGAGATGGCCCCGAGGAGGGTGGCGCCAAGGCCCCTCTGCCTGTGAAAGGAGATGCGCCGCCTGCCCCGCACCCGGCTCTTTCCCAGACGCGTTCTCGCCGGGTGCTCTGTGTGACGCAAGCCCATGGCGCCGGCGACTTGGGGCGGGTAGGGAATTTTAGGGCAGAGTTTCATGGCTGACTTTCTCTGTTGGAACGACAAACGGCCCCTCTGCTCTCCTGGTCCTCGCCCTTCTCCACCACCCTGGCCCCGCTCTGTCATCGAAAATCCCAATCATTTTATGGAGTCCCGCAGGTCACACCTGACCCTCACAACGGGCGGCTGGGGCGCCGCACCCCACCCCAGCTCCCACGTCCTCCACCTTCTGGTCTCCAGGACAGTGAGTTCCAGGCCGACTGCCACCGCCGTCCTCGCGCGACTGGAGCTGCCTCGCTCGTGCCCTTCACGGTGCCCTCGGTTATTCTGGACGTCCCGTCATCAATGACAAGGGGCAACGCCACATGCTCGTTTTCACAAGGGCGCTGCCACCCAGAGACTGCTGAGCAAGGGCTAGGGCGCCTTCTTCACCCAGGAACTCCCCCGAGAGGGGACTGATGTTCTCGAGAATTGTCCCAGGCTGCGATCCACGCAAATGGTCACCACAGGGTCACAAGCCCCAGCGTCCCCAGGGGTGGAGGCTCTGGAATGTCATCTTCGCAGGGTGCCCTTCCGACTCCCAGCAGTGAGCAGCCATATGTGATCATGGCACTCAGCGGCACCCACCCCGTGTCCCAGGCGCTACCTGGGCAAGTTCTGTCTCTGCCTTGGGAACGGGGCCTATGGCAAAATCCCTCGTCCGTTCTGGACGCCATTGCTGCATCTGAGAAACGAGGCTTCTTTCACTCCGCCGCCTGCTTTTCCTCCACTCAAAAAGGACAGACGTCCTTCAAGGCACAGCACCCACCTCTGCTCCTTCCCTCCCCCCACACCTGGCCCCTGTGACTCCACAGACTGGCCAGCTGTTTGAAATATGCACGTTTCGGGGACTCTGTCTCAAACGCCAGGCTCAGGCGTGGCGGTGTGCTCGCTTCACACCCTTCCCCATGTCTCAGCCTGGGCCTTAGGAAGTCTGGGCCTTAGGAAGTCTGCAGTGGCCGCCGCTTCTCACAGCCCAGGCTGTGCAGGAGAGAGCAGCCGCCATCTCCCGCCTGGGCCTTGCCTTCACGGTGACCCCTTCACCCTCACTTCCTCCAGCGGCCCTTAGGGCTCTGCTCAGGCCTCATAAATGCTGTTTGGTGATCGATCAAGTGCAAATTTGGAAAGACGCTGCGGTTCAGAGCTGTAAACACGATTTAAATCTAAAAGCCTCTGCCGTCAGGGAGCTGGAGAATGCCCGTGCGCAGATGCTGAGACTGGAATCGGCATCGTAACAAAGCCTGGAATCCGTGCGTTTCTGCTGCGGTGCCAGCGATGGGCGCAGAGATGGACCGCGCGGGGCCCGCTCAGTAGGTCACTGTCGGTGCAGGGAGAGAACCGAGTCATCTGCGCAGAGAAGGGCCGCGGGGGTGTCCACCACCTCCTTGCACCCGCCCCCACCGCTGTCTCTACTCCGGTCAGACACTGAGTCACCTTAGGTAGCTCTGACACGGTCACATGACAGAGACGCTTTCTGCTCCTCTGAAATGGGGGAGGGCGTGGAGACAGCAGGAGGGTGTGACACAGACACCCCGCTGTGCGCAAAGGCTCCCCTGTCCCCCCACACCCCGTGTCAGCACTGGCGTGCTCCGTACCTTACAGAGTGTGCAGTTCTACTTAAGGAGGAGAGGAAAATCGGAAGCTCTAGAGGGACAGCCCAGGCCTCCTTGGAGTCCCCTCCCCAGAGACTGTGGAGGGGCCGTGGGCCCTCTGTTCGCTGTGCCAGGCGGGGCGCTGTGACCTCGCAGGTCCCAGTGGGGATGCGTTTCTAGGTTCCAGCCGCTTGCCCCCCCCTTCCTGGGAGCAGGGCCACCGTGGTCCTGGGCTGCGGCCTCGCACTCCCCTTGTGGCCGGGACCTGCTCCTCTGAGGAGTCTCCACGCGGCGCGCCCGGGTGGCCCTCCTGTCAGCGTCCAGGTTCTGGAAGGTCCTGCCCGCATCGGAACCTGAGAAACGTTTTCACAGGCCGCAGCTCCTCAAGTCGCCCTCGTTCGTGTCACTGGGCCCAAAGGATCGATGTCTCTGCCCTTTCACGCCCAGTTTACTTTCCAAGT